GCCTTTTTGGGGAGGAAAAGTGGCCACGGAGGGGATTTGTGCCTGTGCAGGATGGGGCCCAGCCAGAAAAACCCCGCAGGGCCAAGAGGGAGAGGGGATATGAAAAGCTCTTGCCTGGCGAGGGGATGCCCAGCCACAAGCACCCTCCTCTTCTTGGTCCAAGCCAGCAGACGCTGCAGGACGGGGACACGCTCCTGGCACGCACTGTGGTCACACCACGCTGGGACACGACCGAAAGCACCGAATCTCTGACGCACACACCCAAAACGAGCAGGGCGGGAGACACCACCAACCAGCACCAGCACCTCCGCCAGCACTCGCGCTGCTGCTGGGGCTGAGTGGGCAACAAGAGGGGACACGGGGACCCTACTGCCCCTCACTCTTCAGGTGTGGAAACCCAAGCTACAACCCTCCCTTCCTCACCCTCCGTTTCATCATTTAGCCCAGGACAGGAGAAAATTAAACTGTAATGTAAGAGCAGGGAGGTCCACGCTGCCTCGCTCCAGCACCTCACTCCCTCTACTCAACCTCCTTTGCTGAGGTGGGGGGGAAAAAACCAGCACCATTCACCCAAACTTACGCAGCATTAAACCTCAGAAAGCAACTTTACACTCAAAGAGGTCCAAGCCCTCGCCATGCAAGCGGCGAGGGCTCTGCCCATCCCGGCGCGGCTGCCTTGCACCCCTTCCCACATCCCCGGCACACGGGGCTCTGTGCATCCTCACAGCCCGAGGGATGGTTTCTACCCTAGGTGAGCGTGGCTGGGTAGAGATGTGCTTCCCCACAAGGGTTATGGTGGGTGATGGAGCCCTCCTGGTCTCCCTTTCCTCCTTGACACAGTGGCCAGGACAGCAGGGATGGGGTGGAAATCAGAAATAAGGGGTTAAAGGCAAAGGAGATTTAGAAAGGGGGGAGAGAGGTTAAGGAAGACTGAATGGCAGCAAGAAAAAAGTCAAAGAGGGGGGGAAAAAGGCATTTAAAGGGGGAAAAAGAACAAAAAGACTTTGCACAAGAGTTCTCAGGAGATGGGCAGAAGGGCTGGTGCTGCAAGGGGGAGCTGGGGGGAGGAGAGCAAAAGTGACAGCAGAGAGGAGGTGAGAGCGGTGGGAAGGGAAGGGAAGGGAAGGGAAAGGAAAGGGAAGGCAGCCAGCAGGTGGGTGTGATGGGGGAGGCCCTGGAGATGCTCCCATTTACCCAGGAACAGACTAAACATCCCTGTATAGCTTCCAGCTATTCATTTTAACATGTTCTGCCTCTTGTGGATTATTTTGCAAGCAGCTGTGGATGTGAGAGGGCTTTGCACCAGGGCTGCAGCTCTGCTGAGTCGGGCTCTTGCTAAATAAAGAGCTGAAGAGAAGGGGGAAAAAAAAGAAGGAAATTCCACAGGAAGTTCAAATATTTTATTACTTCCTGTTTGTACAAAGTATGTCAACAATTGGCACCCGCTGCGCCATTTGTTTAGAGCTAAGGTGTCAACTTGAAAAAATGTCCTTTTTCACTCCAGAGCTAACCCAGAAAGAGCCTGAGCGCAAGAAAAAAAAAATATATCCCGGAGCGAGCGGGGCGCTCGGAGGGAGCAGCGGGATGGCTTGCAAGGGATGCTCAGGGACCGCGGCGGAGCTGCCGAGACGGTGGCTTGGCCAAAGCCACCGCTGTTATCAGCCCCACACACGCCTTGGCCTTGTTCCTCGCTTGGCTGTGGGTCCTTCAAACGAGCACGCTTGGGTGTCTTCAAGACCGTGGTCCAGTTCTCCCGGTACCCCCATCCAGGCTTTAGCCCCCGGCCCCACGGGGCGCTCCGACTGTCACCCTTTGCTTCCCTGCAATGTCTCGCCCATCTCGACTCGATTTGAAACTCCTCAGAAGTTTTTCTGGGCGCAGCTTTAGTTAAAAGACTTGCTCAAGGGCTGAGATGAAGTGATGGGACAGGGGTGGAAGATGAATGGCATGCTCAGAGGTGGGGCATGGAGCCCAGCCGCGTTTCTGGCCCAAAAACCCCACGAGAACGTTCGCTGGAGGAATTTCGCCGCATCTGAGAAGACGATGCCCAGGGCTTTCCCAGGATACCAAGACAAATGGCCAATTCTTTCCCAATTAAGGGTGCTTTTCCGCCCGCTCGCACCAGCCCCACATCCAGCCTCCAGCCCCGGCCAGCGCCGATCCTGCACAACAGGAGCCAACACACACCATGTCCCACTCATTTGCAACACTGCAGCCAAGAAGGGGAAAAAAAAACCCCCCTTATATTTTTACGCACACACACATATATATGCACATATATACACACACGTATGTATTTACATATATATATGTTAAAAAGTGTATATAATACCTATACACACACACAAAAATTGCAATTCCTGCTGGCAACTCTCACCTCCCAAAGCCAAGACAGCGCGAGCCATCGTGTTTGGCCGAAGGTGGTTATTACCGGAGCTTTACCCGCTCCGGTTGCCGGCCTGTGAGCCCGGCGGGTGCCGGTGCACCGAGGGGTGCTATGCCAGAGAGCCACCCAGTGGCAGGTTAACCAGGAAAACCACGCTGGGTTTCCAGGAGCGAGCCCAGATCATTTTGCAGCCGGCATTTCCACACCGAGGGTTTCTGCAGGCGACTGCAGGGAGGGAAGGGTGAAGGGCATTATTTAAGTTTTTTTTTTAAATTTCATCTTCATTAGAAAACGCAAACCAAAGTGTAGCAAAAAAGAGGGTTGTTTTTTTTTTTTCCTTCCAGTGCAAGACACTGGATTTTCATCAATCATGAATTTAAGCCCCAGAGTCAAACTGGGATTCAAAATATAACCTTTGCTGCCAAAAAATCTATGATGATCTGAAAAAATTCCCAAAAAACACAACTTGGGTCTGAACTCCTTCGATCAGCAATTTTATGGGCTGTGGAGGTGCAGGGCCTGGGGGGAGAGATTGACGTTTGGGGTCCACACAAGGCAAAGGCGTAAGCAGCAAATAAATGCCACGCAGGCTTCCTTAAGGAGCCTGCACCTCCTGCACAAACATTTTGAGGTCCACAAATCAGAAAAAAAAAACCCCAAGGAGAAAACTGCTGACCTTGCAGCCCAGGACGGCGTCCCAGGGAGGGCATCCCTCGGGCACGCCAAGCCAGAGCCAGGGCAAGCCGCTCCATCCTCCAGTTTTGCCTAATTATGCCAAACGAAGGCACGGCCCCAACCCAAACATCGCAGGGCGAGCACGCCTACGGCTCAGCCCCCCAGCTCCCCGCCTGGCTACGAAGCCTTCGTCTCCATATCAGAAAATTTAAATTAAAGATTGGGAGCGATGGGCCGACCTGTTGAAATTCAGGAGGAGCGGGTATGATTCAGCGGGGGTTTGGCGAGCGGTGGCTATCGGTGAAGTCAGAGCAAACCAAACGCTAAGAGTAGTAACTATCTCGCCTTGTATTATTATTTATGTATTCCTGATTATTATTATTATTATTAGAAAGGCGATCTGATGCAGCAGATAAGGGGCTGAGCCAGGAGTCAGGAGACCTGGTTTCTATTCCTGACCTGGAAGAGTTGTGAAATTCCCTGCCTAACCCCTGCCTGCTTTCCCCTCCCAGCCCCGGGCTGAGCCCGTTCCCAGCGGCTGCAGCACCCACCACGACCCAGATTTGTTCGCCACCCCAGCCCCACAACAGGGACCTGCCTTGTGTTTCTGGCTTAAAAGAAAAACCAAGAGCGTTGCATCGCCTGGATGCCGGCTTTGCAAATCCAGCCCGGCAGCTCGACAGGCTCCTGTAAAGCCGCTCGCATTCCAAAATAAAAATCAAGGGGGAAGAAAATCCAATGAACCCCGACGCAAATAAACTCCCTTCACCGAGGTAACAGCCTCCACCTGGCCTGACATCAAGGGGCACCGATGGCCCAACGACAGCATCAACAGAAAATATTTTCTAAAGCGTATTTAGAAGGATCAAACCGTTTCCCCTCAATTTGGGCACCGACAGCTTTACACGCGAAGGGAACAAACTCTGCTTTATAGTCCCCAGGGTGGTGTCGAGCGAGCAGGAAGGCGAAGGCAGAGCAAAAAGCTGGAGACGGAGGCCCCGGGGACAAGGTCCCACCGCACAGGGGGTCCAACAGAGCAAATAACACTCATGGAAAGAGGAAACTCCTCCAGCTGACGGCACCGGAGCATTTCCCCGCGCTCCTCGCATCACGGGAGATGCCAAAGTGAGCTCCAACCGGCCCGACACCGAAAACCAACCCAACGAGGGCCATTCGCAGCCGCCTTTGCCAAGAGCCACTCTCAACCAAAAGGCACCATCCTGCACCCAGGAGAGCCTACCCGATCAAAACAGAAAGACTTTTCTGCGGTTGAATCGTCTCTTTGGTTTTCTCAAGCAACGCAGCCCCCGGCCGCGGGCGCTGCCAGCCGGAGCCTTTGACAACCCGAAAGCGAAACCACCGCTAACCAAAAGGGGAAGGTGCTCGCCGAGCTCTCCTGGGCCCGTGCGGACAGACAGGCAAATACAAGCACGGCGTGGAGGAAACCTGCAAACATTTTTGGTTTAATAATCAGCAAGTCAGCCTCCGAAGCCAGGCGCAGCATCTCTGGCTTTGTAACCCCCCCAGAAACGCCCTGCACGCCGCCACATTTGAGTCCTTCGTATTTTTGCCGTCGAAGCCCAAAGGATTTTCCCTACATCCCAACCACCACGAGGACAGGAGCTGTAAAACCATCCCGCCACGATGGGATACGGAGCGCGGCGAGAGCAAGCAGCAGGCAGGGACACACGCCACGCTCCGCCGTACGGAGAAAAGAAAAGCAGCCGAGCCGTGCCCGCCGCGGCACGCGTTCTAGGGGCTCGCTTGGCCACGCCAATGCCGTCTCGTTAGCTCCGCGCGCTGCAAACGGTGCCTGCACTGGCTGGCTTTGCCCGGCCGCTGAGGCATCCTGCATCCTTCAGCCACGGAGAGCTCGGCCCCCTGCACGCCCCCCCCCACCGCGCTTCTCGGTGGCTGCCAAATAAAACACATCACTTACTTCGTGGCTCCCGGGGTCCGTCTACGGTCACTTTAATGGCTCGGTGATAGGTAGCGACTTGGGTGGGGTTGGTGAACACGGTGATCGTCAGGGTAAAGCTTTTTCCTAAGGAGGGTGGGGGGGGGGGGGGGGGGGGAAAAACAAAACAAAGAGAAATGAGGATATTCACATGGGTTCAGCTCTTGTGGGAGCAAAAGGCTCCTGCTGGAGCAAGCTCAGACAGAAATATCCACATCCACCGAACTCCAACACACACATCATTTAATTTTATGAGACATTATTGCCGAGACACAAAGCTCGGCCGGCTCCCGCTGGGGTTCAGCTGGCTGCAGCAGAGAGAGGCTTGGACCCGGTTCAGAGCGGGAGCCAGGACCTTCCTGGATGGAAAAGTCACTTATCCCCCCCCTCCCCTGCCCTGTCCCCATATCGACCCTTCCACCCACAGCAGCTTCCTGGTGCCTTCCCGCTCAGATGCTTCCCCTTTTCCCATGGGAATCCTGCCCTGAAACGCGGCGCTGGATGTGGGACCCCCCTCCGCGAGGGATGGATAAGGGTCCTGGCTCCCATGGGATGCTCCTGCGGGAGCAAGCTGGTGAGAGGGCATCAGTCTGCAGGCGATGGGTGCTGGTGTTCGGGAGGAGAAGCCTGGTGGCTTTGGCCCTGTGGCTGCACCCATGTGGGGACGTTTGGAGAGGACCCATGCCGGGCTGTTGGCCCTACAGGCACCCACAGCCCACGTACGGGGGCCAGGGCCAGAAATTGGAAACTACAAAATGGGAATTGAAGTCGGACAGCTTTGGCCACCAGACAGGTGGCCCCGCCGGCTGCGAGGACTGTCCCCCTCTCCCAGCCCTGACCAGAAAACCATTGCTGGGAAAGAGTTCAGACACCATCCTGGGGGCTTTTCAGGGATGCTTTTGAAGCACCGAGCTTATCTCCTTTTTTTTTAAAAAAAAAGGGGTAAAGCAGTAAAAAGCCCTTAGGAGCCCAATTTTGCAAGAAGACAACGGTCACCCCTTGCTCCAGCAGAACACGTTTCCATCCACAGCCGGAAAAAACTTTTTGGCATCATGGAGGGCGTTATCCCCCTGCACCCATATGCCACCTCGACCACGATAACCATCCACCTCCTGCAGCCTTGGCATCGCCATCCTGGACCCTCTGCCTTTTCCTTGCCCGCGGGAATGGCCTCCGCTCTCCCGCAGCCTCCCCGGATTCAGGAGTCCTTTGGGTAAAGGAGAGAGGTTTGCACATGCAAGGGAGCAAACCTCCCTAACCAAACCCCCTCCAAGAGCAATCACCCTGAGATTTCAAAGCTATGGAGTATTTCAGAGGTATAAACCCCAGCAGGAATCAGCCTGGAAATGCCCATGCAATAGCCCTTAGCTCCTCCAGCCTTTATTTCACAAATAAATGCAGTAAGAAACCACCTCCTTTCCTTTTTTCCCTAAAGGGATTAGGGGTTTTCAGATCCCGACCATGATCTAGCTACAGGGTTGGACCTGAGAATATCCATAGCAAAACAAAACAGTATTTACACAGCTAGAAGGAAAAAAGAATAAACAGAAAAAATGAAATTATCTCCTCCAGAGAACATCCTGCAATTATCCCAGGTGGGAGAGTTTCTCTACGGGAGCGTCGGAGGGGAGGGAAATGCTGGCTTTAAAGCAGACAGCAAACATCAGTCCCTGCCCTACCTCAGCTTTCAAAACAGGACTAAATGCTGCACAACCCTTCAGCTCATTTTCTGCACAAAAAGGAATTTTTTTTTTACCCTCCCAAATGCAATTTTAATCCCCAATGAAACGGTCGTGCTGACAACCTGCATGGAAGAGCCGTGCTGCCGCAGCCTGCAGAGCATGAAGGCTCCCGGGTGCCTGCACGGCCACGTAAAAACCAACCAACACTGAATATTTGTTGGCAAAAACGTTTGCAGAACCAGAGTGCAGGGATGAGGATTATTAGGAGCAATTATTTAGGAAATTCCGCGGGAGGAGAGGCGAGGGGAGGCAGCCCCTTGGTTTGCATGCGAGGGAGCAGGCAGCGTGCAGGCAAGTCCGGCTTGTCCGACACATTAAACCCTTCCGTACGCTGGGAGCTGAGCCCAGCATCTGATTTATTTTTATTTTTAAAATTTTTTATTGTTTAATCTCCATGTGAAATAACTTCCTTGCATTTCAGTTTCCCCCTCTGCCCGCTGCAGATACGAATACCTCTCCAGGGAGGACGGCCGGAGCGCGGAGAGCCAGCCAGGCCATTTTTGTGCCTCTTAACAGCTCTCAAAAATCCTCCCATGAATCGAAAATGACAATTATTACTCAGCATCATTTTTACTCATTTCCCGCCTTCTCGGGAAGCTGGGCTGAGGTTACTCATTCCCACCGCGCCCCGGCCCCAGCCACAGTTCACCCGCTGCATGGGGCTGGATCCCAGCTCCTGGGTGGGTTTGGGAGCACCCACGGCTCCGCGGGATGCTCCGGGGGGATATTCCATCTGGGAGAGGAGGTGGTGGGGTGCAGCGGGCATCGCAGCACCCCGCTGGCCTTGGTTTTCATTT